GTTTTCGGGCGGGCGACACCCAATTTCCATCTGTTTCGGCTGCGGTCCCAGTGATCGCATTGACCAAGGTTCACTTCAATGTGAATCGCGGCCTACACTGATTGTCCGCCTCAATCCAAACACACAATGTGTACTCCAAAATGGCTCTGCAAAACGTCCAGCTATGTTTAACGCCCATACTGTGAGAAAATTGTTGCAAAGTGTCACGCGAAAGCTTACCATCAGTTCATCTGGCTTGATTGTGAGACTTGCTATCTTTTGAATGAGCTCGCAATAGTTCTTAACGAATGTACTCTTCCGTCTTCTCAGAAATTGCAATCGCTCTCAAATGTCAGGAGTCTATGCCATTGATTATGAGTCGTACGGGAACAGCAAGCTTGTAAATGTTTGGCAAACTATAAATCCTCGGAGGCAGAGTCGACTTTGGATAAAGACTGTACCACTTGCCTACTCCTAAATTGTCATGCACGATTCTCAGATTGTTACCGACCTTCGGCATACTCTTAGTTATTTCCGTCGTTAGCTACACTATCAGTTATTCTATATGGACCAGCCTCCAAACACTGCTCCATTTTTCCAGATATTCTGACTTACTCATTACTAGTAGTATTTTCCTCTCGTCAACCTGAATGAGTACAATATTACGATCTTCTTTCAAGATCTTCAATGTCATACGTTCTGTTAGTGCAAAATTTGGCTCACTTGGTTTCTGAAATGTGATAGCGTTTAACCGCACGAATATTCGTCTTCACAGTCGGTAACTTTGTTACTGCATCCTCAACGCTTGGAACATCTCTTCCGCATATATCTTAGATTGATTAAGAGATTTCATACAGGTTCACCTGACCTGACGAGGCTTTAATATCACAAAAGAAACGTTGCCCAACAAACACACCAACCGTTTGTTTGCAAAGCTCTGTAAACTCATTTGTTATGTACTTTTACAATTATGCTGTGCCTCACGCTTGTGCAAGTAAAGCTGGGCGCTGCTACGGACCTCAGAATGGAATGACTAGCAAGTTCCAACCGTCAAACGACACGCCAAATACTCCAACGCGCGGGGATTCATTTTACTCAACAGCTGTCCTCCATGCGAATATCCTCCAAATCCGTGTTTTGAGTGTTTCACGGTTTTCCATTTTTTCGTGTTTCAAGTACCCTCACTGTTACTCACTAACACGCCACTATTCTACAAACCCGAACAGTCTGTGTTCCAGCAAACTGCGACCACCATGAAGCACTCCTTAAGCAGGATCAGAGGCATAGTATGGGGGTGCGGAACGGGTCCGCCCCGGGCGGCATGTGACAGGGTGCATAAAGTTTTGTACCGTTGATTGTTCGATACCGCCTATAAAGGACAAAATTTCCAGACAGGCTGTGGGTTGAATACTTTACTGTTAATCTGTACGACCAAAAACACCTTTGCACCATGTTTCACACTTGTGCAAACGTTCTTCACGACGATCTCCTTGATTTTCCCATTGTGGACACGTTTACCTCAATGTCCCAAACCATCATACTTTTCATCGAAAACTACTGTGCACTGCACCAGCAGCCGATTTTGTGGGTTTACGTATTTGGAACATCCAAGAGGAGGCGGCAAAGATAGTTGCTAAGCCACTGGGCAGAATGGTACTTCCCGCCCCGCAAGTGGATCGATAAAATGACGGATCGAGCTACAGAAACCATCGGTTCGCCCCTCAAACGTCTGCTGTGGCCCATACAGAACAAATGTACCTTCACCTTATCCCCAATGAGAGCCCGAATCGAGAAGACAAAAGACGTGGTCCACATTGATAGTAGCCAATGAAATCACAGCTGTGATAGACAGCCGTCGAGATCGTAAAGTAGCCAATGTTTACTGGGGTTCGTGTACGCGAGCAGTCGTGAGAAGTTTTAGGAACGATCGATCAAACAAGTCCTCACATTCTCAATTGACCAGAACGGGTGCGTCTCGACTATTTGTGACCAATCAGAAGGCCAGCCCATTAGACTAACCAGAGGTAAAACTTATTTGTATCCCTTACAGAAGCATCTGAATGGACTACTTAGCGCTGTCCATTCCTCGTTTACTGATTATGGTACCTTGGTAAAGAATGGGCCACTAAATTCCACACTATGATTCCAGAGTGGTTTTGAACATGGCCGGATCACGAAGTCTCGAAAGAGGAACTTAAACCATTTCATCAAATAGCTGACAGCGATACTCGCCACTTATGCAAGCGCTCGTTAGACAGTGAGTGCATTTTGAGCGATTACCAAAGTAGGCTGCGTTGACACCAGTTGCAATAGTGACTTGTGCTTCGTGGTTACTATTGGACAGACGAATTGCTCCTCCTCCCGAAAACGACAGGATTAGAAGCTATTTCATCAGCCCTTTAGCTTGGATTACAAACGCAAGGCTGGGTTTAAAAGCCGAATCGCTCCATTGAATCACTTCCCGGCCCAGCGTAGAAAGTTTCGATAAAGGTGAACGTTGAAACAGATTTGCACCAGATCGTTTCTATCTCATCTCCAAGCTGAGCATGACTAAAGGAGTAGATAAAACTCTTCTGCCAACGCTATCCTTCCTCGTATTCATTCAGCAATTTTACCACCTTCTACCGATCCAGCTTGCAGCATCGTTACGTTTCCATCAGTTGCATGCACTAGCAAACGCGGTGCGTGACATATTGAAATGTTACTACTTTGTATGACCGTAAACAACGAGAAGCAGCCGAGCCACACCTTCCTGGACTCAGAATGATGATGTATCAGATGCCTTCACTGGAAGAAGCCTCCCATTTCATGTTTACTGAAATACACCGTATGCAAAGCGACTGTGCAGCAAAGCTTCTGTCGACTACTCTCACTGCTTCGTCCATTAACACCTCTTCGGAACTTTCAACTCGGCATTTTTATCGAGTAGTCCTGTTTCACGGAATTATGAACGTTTCTACAGCAGAGCCCGTTATCCATGAGGCTCTTTCTCTTGTTTCATCTTTCTACTCTCCATAGGCGACGTGGCGTCGTGATCTGTCAAACAGAACGTGACGTGTCCCTCCATGGGATTTCGTTCCTCGGAGCGATGGACCCAAAATGAATAAATCACCGCAATCTGCTATTCTACTAGTATGGAGCTTGTGTTGCAAAAGTAATGATATCATATGTTTGAGCGCGTAGAGCTAGAGGCTAATTAGGAGAAACTCTGGAGCTATCGATTTTTGGGGTATGTGGGTGTGACGCAGTATTTGCACAGGCCCATCCGGTTCGGTAGCTTTACAAGCTGTTAGCTCGAAGCTTTAGACGCTACACCGCTGGTGTATTCGAATACACGATGGTTTGCAAACGAACTGTCGGCAGGTGACGGATGACTTTGTCGTCAACCGAAATCGACTCACTATTGACTTCTCGACGGTTCACAGAGTAAAAAGAAACGTAGAAATCAGTTTATCATGAAACAAGCAAATGTACCATTCCATTATCTACACCGCATTGTCTCTGATGGCGTATCCTGAGTTTGCACCTGCTCCATGCCGCCCCACTCACCTGGTTACCATGCAGAACACTAACATGATGCTACTTCAAGCGATGATACGCAGCTAGCTCACATTTCTTCACGCGTTTAGGAGCTTAAAGCAAAGTAGGGACCGTGATACTGATGTGTATCCGTCTTCTTCGGTTATTTAACGAAATACACGTCAATTCTTGAGCAATTTAAACGTACAAGCGACCTCGCAGACGCCACCCCATCTCTATTTGGTAGTTAGAAATCCGGACACTGATTGTTTACTTTCAAACTTCGGGTCCTATCTTCGATCTTTTGTGCCCTTATTTCCTGCCATTAGAGCCACCGATCTCAATTGCTGGTTGCATGACAGCGTGGTAGTGATGCAACCTGCGCGTATGTTTCTGTTGCTGTTGTAGAGCCAGCGGCAGAGGGGGATTATACGATAAACAGCTTCTCGTTTAAGATTTAACTCTGAACAACTGGCGTTTATTTTTACACAGAAAAGTTATTCTCAAAGTGTGGCAGTAAAACCCTGGGATATGTGTTTAAACAGTTGTACTTTGGGGATAAAGATATCAGCAGTACACCGACATGCGGTACCGACGCTTCGTTGTCATGCGACCACCTGTAGTCACGAGTGGGCTAGGTGCACTGTAAGGTTACCAGCATCTATGCGGAACATCGGAGATAGAAAACCGATGGGAGAGCTGGTGGTCATACGTCTGGCAACGGGAATGGCACGTTCCCTCGTACTGCTATCCTTGCAACTTTTGCCTGAAAGGATCTGTCAGTGTTGCTGACACAAACCAGTGGTAGGTATTTTGTATGTCCGTGATGAACAATATACAATGTTAAAGTTTTTCAGGCTAGGTAAAACATGGTTACTTATTTCCATACAACATCCAAATCAGGACTTGCTACTCTTAATTGCAAACCTCAACCCACTACAGTTCTAACTGATGCATTCCCACCAATATTTTTCTGTTTACTTCCTTCGGTCAGTGCCGAAAGGATACAGCCTCTAACTTCTAGTCCGAAGATTACCGGTTCCACTCTGCTTGAGCGCTAGCGACTTCGCAGTACCCTCAGTCTACATGCGACTAGTGATCGTAAAGTGGCAGTAAAGCGTTGCGAAGCGTTGTAGCTAAAAACACGTTTTTACACAGCAGTGGCTCAGAGCAGGCTATCAACACTGAGCTATTTGATATTCCAGTAGTATTAGTTGGCTGAAAGTGGGCCTGTGATACAGGATAGCAAGCTCTGATAAAACAAGCAAAAGTGTGCACGTCATGAAAACCTCAATCGGATGTTACAGGCTAATTTAGCGGAGCTGAACTCGAGCCGAGAACGCATATGGATCCCTACAGTAAATTACTCCGCATAGCAGTACATGTGGCGTGGTGAAGCATTAGAGCTCTCGTTGTTGGTTATGTAATCCACATATTTCCATCAATCTTTTGGAATGCGCTAGATGATTTATTATGCATGGAGACTAACAGGTGGTACTCACCGTTTATCAGTTCCGCCACAAGGCATCCAAAACTCCACATATCTATCGGCTGGCCATAACCGGTTCGTAATATGACTTCTGGAGCTCGATAAAATCGAGACTGTATGTAAGGATAGGTTGGTCCTTTTTTGAAGCAACTGGAGCCGAAATCTATCAGCTTCACATAATCTCTTTCTTCTGCATGCAAATGATTGAGTTTTGAGTCAATCGTATGGTTTTCAGTGTCACACAATTCAAAATGCTCCTTCAATTGATTGACAAAACGATCCGGGTGCCAGATAAGCAGAACGTTCTCCGGTTTCAGATCACAGTGGATGATTCCGGCTTTTTCTACGTAGTACAATGCCTTGAGGATTTGGAAACTGATCCGTCGCACTCTATCTCGAGATAGACCGATGAATTTGTTCAACTTGAGTAAATCGTACAGGTTGATGCTCAATAACTCAAATGTCATACAAATGTGTTTACGAAACATGAAATGCTCAAACATTTGTACGATGGGAAACTCCCCGCCGTCCACATCTGTGGGTGAATCCCCACGCATTTGACGCAAAGTTTCCAAAATTCTGATTTCCTCTTTGGCCTATAATAGTGAAATGTAGTTTTTACATGTATTTCATATAAATCACAACATAGATGTTCAACTTTGCTTTAAGTTAAAGACATTAGTGCTTTTATATGAGGCTACAAAACAGTCAAATAGGGGTCCGAAATTTCCGCCGCAATTTTGAGTTATCAGATGAATTTTCCACCCCAGATAATCCGGTGAAAAATATACTATATTTTGTAAGATAACCCAGCATGATTTGTGGAACTAGCGTCCAGGTGAGCACTCGTCTGATCTACTTCAAGTATGTTGGAGGGAATGCATTTCAAGCAAATGATAATACACACTTGCGTTCAGTTCTGAGTGCGACAAAGTGGTAGTGCTTTCGCTCGTCAAAAATCGACCATCCAATAATGCACTAGCGCCGAAGGGCGCACAGTAACTCTTCCCCACGAGTTGCCTTCAATAACAGTCGTCAACTAATGGGTAGTTGTGTTGTGCTGTGTGAATGTTTAGAATATCCGTGAGTCTCGGGTAATACCGGCACTCTGATGTTATCGCGCAGAGCAATGAAGCGAACTACCAGTGTGATATTTTGAAAAACTGAATTATCCACAGCAAACGCTATACCATATAACTAGATCTAACAAATGTCTTCACCTGCTTCGAGAATCCAACCTTGATCGGTTACCGATATTGATATTTAGTGCACAAACAAGCCTTATTTTTGAGCACTACGTGACCAGTTTCTGTTAGATGTTAATGATCGCAGGAAAAAACATTAAGCTTCGCCTTAGAAAGTTACGAGTTTTACGGGCCCTCCAGTAAGAATGGTTAATGTGAAACCCCAAGGACTTGAGTCGCTTCAAATGCGTTTAATAATGTGCAATACATACCCGCCTCGCAAACTGCGGTGCAGTTTAAGGAACACTGAAGTATAAATTGATGGTTTACACTTTCTTCATGCACTGCCTGTGGAACGAAGCTTATGTGTTTGTACTGTATCACTCAAGAAGAGAAATAGCATGGCGATCTCCCCCGCATGATGTTCAATCCTGTAGAAGAATCTGACCACGCTACTCATGTCTCTATCAGTATTCACACGTTACTTGTTTATCCTTCACTATTGAACCCATTCCTACCACCTTAGCAAGTGTTTTTTAGTTCATTTATCTGTTGCATCATCTCGCTTCACCATCATCGTCATGCAAATTGCGTATTGGCTTAGGTGTCACAATTCTTCCATATCTTCCCGTTTGTGTCCATATATGCTAGCCCGATATCCTCCAACTTGCTTCCAACTTAGCTTCACCAAACATCTGTAGAGGTATCGTATGAAATTACCCCAGATCAGGACAGCATACGAGCGCGTAACCAAATCTAGCAATTGTCAACTGAACCTTGTATTTTCAACATTTTCACCTTTCACCGTGGTTTTTGTTCATATCCTGAATTCCTGCTCAATTTGCCTTGCGTCACGCTAACTCTGTTATCATTGGCATTTCACGATATCATTAGCGATTTCATCATCATAGAATCACACATAGGATATGCAATAGAATTCCATTCACTCGAATAGCTGGTGACTCGCAGCCTCACGTTAAATTTTCTCGACCAAATTCGGGCACCTACATTTCGTACAAATTCGTGCTACGACCAGTCTATGTGTCCATTTTGCCCGCTCACGCTTTTGGTAATACCTACAAAGAACTATCACTCAATTTCCATTTAATACCGTTTGGTTGTGGCTCCCACTAGGAAATATGTCACTCTAATGGAACTTTACATAAATATTTATAAATTCACGTCGCACCCCAGTGTACATCGCACCACCACTATGTCATCGTAACAGTAAGATATAGGGACCACAAGTGTGAAGCTGATAGAGACTTATCAGAAAAATGCTAAACCTTCAACAATAAATTAACACTCATATCCCACCACGATTAGTGAATTAGTATACACTCACTCACTCACTTGTCTCGTAAACCGAGATTCTGTACGGATAATCTTCAGAGCAACCTGAGTTCCCTTCATGTGGTCGATGGCCCTAACGACTTGTCCAAAACTGCCCTTACCAAGCAGCGACAAAATCTCGAACCGGTAGGCGATATGGTCGTGTTTGATCACACGATAGAAACTCTCCTCGTCATCGAACATGGGACTACATTCTTCGACTACAAAGTAGATGCTTGAGAGGGAAAACATACCAATGGAATGTTTTCGTTCAAGTCCGGCCTGGTTCACAGCAGAAGGCTTTTGCAAGGTTTCCAAATCGGGGTTCCCAGCCGGATGTTTTCGCGACGAGCGGCCAAGAAAGTAGATCTGAAAAAGAATAGAGCAGATGTGCACTTTGGGAGCTGGTTGAAACGCCTAAGACCTACTCAATTTGATGAACTGAGCTACTTCCTCTCCTAGTTGACATTCTGGTGGATTGCTGAGCTGTTAAGATTTACTATAATTACTGCTGCATCATCAAAACATACTCCAATGGAGTGAGTGAGCCGTCTTCAAGGTTACACTTAATCACTAGTCCTGCTCATGCGTACCATCCAGTAGGCCCGTGGCGGAGCTGTACGTTATCGGGCCCGGACCCAGTTTACGGATTGGGGAATACCTCCCCTGTGGAGGTAACTGCGAATACGTATCGTTTGCCTTGCAGGAGAGATGAATAAGCAGTCGCGGACAATCAGCGGCAGCGTCTCAGAGCGTGGGGAGTTCTGAGCTGGTCACCTGGTTCTCCATCAAATACCACAAGAGCTCGTACGGCGCTGTATCAAAGCCAATGTGACCGGCTATAAGGTCACTGACCACTCACTTCTGTAACCAGAGGTGAGTATATAACGGAGAGCGGATGAACAACCTTGCTGGCCACCGCCTTCTCTGTGGACTGCTACTGAACACAAAGAAGGCGAAGGAGCCCCCCGGATGTCAACGGTCTTCGTTAATCACCCCACTGCCTTACGGGTTAGGTCTTAAGACCAAAGGCTCGGCGTGGGGTCCCTTAAGTCAACCCTCTTCCTCGGCCTGGGCAACCGGGAAGCTGTCTGCCCACACAACACATTAACCGTCCAAACATCCCAAATCCCTCCACTGACTACCTGTTTTCCCCTTTTTGTTGTTGTTAAGTGTGTTGTGGCACTGCGAATTGTACAGTGATCAAGTGTTGAATGATAATAATAATAATAGTAATAATAGTAATAATAGTAATAATAATAATAATAATAATCATATCGTCCAGTAGGACATCCAGATGTCTGCCTCCGGCTAGTATTATGCCGGCTGTTTGGTTTGCTAGCTAACGTGACTACATGACGTGTGGCGATTATTTCTTCCTGCTGTGTAGATGGGTGAACAGACACGCAAATGTGATGTGTTTAACCACTTGACATTGCGGATGCAGTCTCTCAAACACACACACTTTCCATTCGGAAAGAGTAGCCGCCTGCTCCGAGTAGCTGCAGAGACCACTATGTGAATTTTGTCAACAGGGCCCTGATCGCCACACTGGTGTTTCTCACTGAAATCTAGAAGATTTAATCTTGAAATTAAGCATGGAATGTGGCCAACCATCGGTACTCCAGTGTTGTTAGTTTTGTAATGAACCATCTCAAGTTAGCAAAGCTATATGATGTGCTGTGTAGAACGAGCCATGCGCATTATCATTAAGATGGCAAGCGGGCAACAAAGGATGCGAAAGATTCTTTGTTCCTGTACACCAAAATGCGTTATGTCGCAGCACTGCAAGTGCTTCGTGACTGTGATACCCGTACACAGAAGGGAAATGATCAAGTGTATTTGAGCAGTGATTTCCAGTCATTGATCCATCACCGGTAGTCTCGTGATACGTAATTCACCCTTGTTTTCTGGTCAGCCAACATGTGAATTAGACTCCCCGCTGCTTGTTGCGCATAAGTTTGAATGCCCACCAGGAAGGTGGAAAATAAAGTCTCGGTTGCTTCTCTCATATCTTTCCTATGCCCAGTCGCGATTGTACAGTTTCGGCTCAGGTGTACGGCGAAGTAAGTGAACCCCATTTACAACAATTGAATTTAAATCGATCGACTCATCATTGTTGGTGACTCTAGCCCAGTACCTCAACGGATGGACCCGGCCATTCCCATCTAAAGAATTATCGTATAAGAGTCAACGGAGTTATCATGGCTACACGTGTCGTCGAGATCGGACTGGCGCTGCGAGTCATTCACGTGCACCTTGACCCTAAAAGCTATTCACTCGCCTTTGTTACGTGCTCCACAAGTCCACGGTTGCACCTCACATCAACACATGGGGCAACGGAGCGGGTCACCTAACAATGTTTGCAAATGCATAATCAACGGAGCAAGGCTATTCGGACACACACAATCAGCGCTCGTCGTGAAGCACAACATGTGTAGTTCGTTCGCACTGCGTAAGCAAGGCAGTGAAAAACTGCACCAGATACATGTTATCTAAGCACACAAAAACCCTGGCTTAAATTGATCAAGCGTAGCAAACGAAAATGATCCGGCGTTTCAGACCAGATAACCAACGGGATATTAAGTGCGGTTGAACAATATTTATCACGATTGGTCAACTTGCCATGGTGCAATATATATATATATATATATATATATATATATATATATATATATATATATATATATATATATATATATATATATATATATAGTATCAACAGTCTACTAACTAGATATTAAGCCTAACCAAAGCATGGAAATCAGTGGATGACCAGCAGTTGCTGTATCGTCATCATCATCATCATCATCATTATGGAACATTTGTTTAAGATGAGCAACACACTTTAACTATTGTGCTACAAAGAAAACGGAACCATTTTTTGTAATCTTTTCAACCGCCATTTTTTGATTTTTAATATACCTTTTTAACTGTTTGGCATTAGGCATCTGAGTAACAACAAGAATGTGAACAACTCTTCCGCTGTTTTCGATTGTGCGCAATTTCATGAATAGTTTCCAGCCATCAGCACTTCTCGTGTTTAGATCCCCAATCAGGCAGGCGTGTGGATCCAACGGCAGTAAGAGGTGAACTCAGTTATTTGATGTGCTTTCGTCAGCTGGATAGTGGATCACCGCGCGGCCTCTGTCGGTACAGTTATGCAAAACCGAACACGGCGCAACGGGAAAAACGCTTGTTGAAGGGAATACTCCCATTCTATGAGACACGAAGTCTGCCTCCAACGTCACAGCTACGTTGTTGCCATTACACAAGAGCAATTTTCACCAAGCAGCCATTATTGGATACCGAGAGACGGCGCTTGTCATCTACGCGAACTGGCTATGACTCACGGCCATATAAATAAATAAATAGGTGATATATTTCTCGAAATGAGAGACAAAGGAAAAATACGAGCCGGATCAGTTGGTACAACAAAGTCGGATAGTGGAGAGATTTTTCATGATCTGTTGTGTTCTCAATGGAGTGTTTAAGTTGCTCAATCCTTTAAAAGTAGTAAAATATGGAGTTGAGAGTAGGAATAAAATTAGATATGGCCGCCAGTTCAAGTAAAGTAGTACGACCCTTCATAGAACCGTCACCCGGAGACTTGCTTCCACACTTCCCTTCCACATCTCATCTGACCATGTGCGGTTGTGGCTAAAAACAAGTAGGCCATGATTTTTGACTCCATTTTTAACTTCTTTTTTGACTGTTGTCATGTGCAATTTTACTATTATACTAGCGAAGCATAAGACATATATAAGTACATATTTTTGTGGGGGTATGTGTTATATGCTAAGCTCTCCACATCATACAGTCAACATTTAGCTGATTTGAGTCCAACAATTTTAATATTCGCCGGTGAGTTCGTGACAACTCACATTGCATGAGTGCAGTGCTTCTTTTGAAGCTTTTATTTTGCCCGAACGGTAGCATTGTAAACACGATCATTTACCAAGTGGGAAACATACCGACGACGCCACAAGTTTTGCAGGTTGACAAACGAGGACCCGACTTTGGCGATGAGAAAAGAAATTTCCTTGCTGATAGCGCCAGCAGCAGACACGCAGCTGCCAGGTATACAAAGCTAGCATTTTGTTCATGCTGTGCATTTGCAAGTGAGCACGGGAAAGGGCGAGTGCCAATCCTAGAGCAGCACTTCGCATTTTGATGGGGCGAAGCATATTCCGTATTTGGATACCTCAATCGCCAAACGCTTTGGAATGGTTTGCATACTCTGCGTGTCGTCACCAAGTAGGGTGATATCATCGGCATAACCTAAGTCGGTTGCTCGCTTGCCCGGTGGTAGTTGTGGTCCAGAATGCTGGCAACCTGTGAGGCACTACGAATGAGTAGTATGGTGAAACTAGCAGGCGCGATGAACTCAGCGAATAATGGATCAACGCAGACGACGACGCGTAATGCACGATTCAGCTAGCCCTGAAAATGAATTACGCTGGAGCCTTGAACCTATATCGTATCGTCACAGCAAACTGAGTTGGTAGCACAAAGCGCAGCGTGGAATCAAGTGGTACCGCGAATGATGTACACAAATCAGTCCGACTGTTCTATGTTTTAGATATTATGCCATGGAGAGATTCATTCTCAAATACATAGCTCGTTCGCACCATCAAGCCTCAACATTTGGTGCCATGACTAACTGGACGTGGAAGATGAAGATTCCGTGGTCGGAACTATTTGAGGTTGGCGATGTACGGAGATTCCTGGAGGACTTCAAAAATGTAGCGGAAACAGTCAGGGTGAAGCAGGATCGGGCGAAGCTGGTTACGCTTCGAAGTCTACTCAAACGACGGGCGAAGACGGTCCTGCAAGCGGCAAAAAGAGGTCCAGTCAAGTTGGAATGGGCCGCAGCGAAGGAGGCGCAGATCACATGATTCGACAGTCCGGCCGACGGCCAGGATGCGAGGTGACGCTTCAAGGCTTGGGCTAGGTGCGGATCCGGTCGTGTCTTCGGTTCATCTCGGCAGCATTTTGGATGGGGTGCTGCCATAGTTGAATGACACGTCAAGACAGCAACTGTTGCTGGAGC